ACACACTCATATATATACACACATATACTTCATATCATAAGTGATTCTAGTGTCTTACCTGCTTTCCACTACACGATTTTATCTGTCAAAAATAAAATTTGTTACTCCGATTATTTTTATGCAATATTCGAGTGTTTCTTCCATGGTATGTTCTTCTGCTTTCATACCTTTAAAGACAGAGATTTGATACTACGTACACTTCTAAACCCTCATTTGTCAGATCTGCTCACAGACGTATGTAAGTAATGAACAATTTTCCCGAAGAATTAATATGTGTTTTCCCAAGAAAAATGGAGATAAAAAGTGGAACTAATAAAAAAAGACAAAGTAGTTATTGAAGTTTAATCTTTTTTTTAACACTAAAGGCTTAAGGAAGGTTGAAAACAGACATACATGTGTTGAATCAGGGTTTGAGTCGTAGAACGGTTCTGTGCTAAGGGAGAAAAAAACATTTTCTCTTAAACGAAATGTAACTATTACTAAAAGTCTTTTTAATAATCTTTGACGTTTTATGGATTCATTCAGTAACATGTAGGGCAACAGTTTTAGATGAAGAAAATGCAGATACTGTACAGAAAAAGAGTTAAAAGATGTTGTTATTATCAGTTAATGCATTAGAAACTGCATGGTTTTGCAGTTACAAATAAAGTGAAACGTCCTAAAGAATAAATAAATCATTAAAAATAAAATGAAACGTCCTAAAGAATAGACAAAACATTGAAGTTACGTTTAAATTTGATATTATAATGGCCCCAATCCTTTTTTGTTAACATAAGATTTCGTTTTGTGTTTAGAAACAGCTGAATTCAAAACAGAAATGGAGCAGAAACTGATTTGACGCCTCTTACAAACTAAACTTTTCATAATGCCAGCTGTTCAATAAAATGATGCACCATTGGAGTACATTATTATGTACGTACATGGTAATTCCTAATTTAAAACAGATTTCGTTATGAGTACACTCTACCTAGAGGTACATTGCACATGTGTGTGTTCCTTGTGTTCGTCACTGGATAAATTTTCTAACCCTCTTTTGTGAATTACCGAGTTAATTTCTGGGAAAACTCACAGGTCCATTAGTTATTAGTTGCAACAACTTTTACAAACTTCACAATTTATTTCTTTTGTCTAGCGCTCTCTTCATTAAATAACACCCCTTCCCGCAAAATTTGAAAATCTCAAAAGTGGAATAAATTAATCTTGACTCAACCCTACATTATCCAATAAACTTGAATATGAGGGTTTTGTTAGCTAAGTCTATCATGCATGAGGGCGGTTAGAAATAGGAAGGAAGTGGATAATAGAAATGATATAACATGATAGAGATACTGCCCATCCTTATGTGTCTGTCTCCCAGCATCTAGATGTACTTTACAACTTTGCTAGGGTATAGTTTATTTTATGTCCGCTGTATGAAGTCAAATTGTGTATCTCTAGTTCATCAGCCAGTACAGTTTCGAACCTTGGCCAAGCAAACTGAAGCGCCGCTGACTCCCATATCATGCAATTAAATAACTGCTAACCTTAATTCTTTTCTCCAGCTGTTCAATTGTCTAACCCCTGTACTACCACCCACCATTGGCGGATTCATAAATTCCCCCTCCCCTTCTTCATCTCAATTTCCGTTGTCCTTGAAGAAACTTGCTAGGCCTACTTATATGCTTTGTTCTAGGGAGGACGTAACTACGTTGCCTTGACGACTGAATTTTAAGTGCTTGATGTGATTCTACTTGTTAACTTGCTTGCGGCCATACTAACAAGTTGATTTGACTTGTGGAGGCAGAAAGAGTTAGATTTGAACGTCCGCTGTACATGCATGCTAAATGCTGATTTAAATTTAACCCTAATTTAACTTCTCGCCTTGTCGCTGAACTGGTACAATGACTCTACTGGATGTTGCACAGAAGCGCCTTATGACTCGGTTATAGAGCGCCACCAAGCTCTCAAAAACAGACAGATCGTTTTCTGTTCACAAACAATTTGTCAATGTATCGAGGAATGAAACACAGGCTCTTTTTACATCCTCAAGTTCAAATAACATAAAATGGCATTTTGGGAAAACTTGTTTCTAACCAATAGATGATTCAAAACTCTATATAAAAAAGATATTTGAATGTAATATATGCCTTGATGTAAGAAAATGTATTTTTACTTAGATGTTCCACTAACTTAACCAAAAAAAGGGTTTTGATAAATGTTAACATACTTATAAGTAGGTTCTAAGAAGAGCCTAAACTTTTGTCAATCAGCGCGATTCTCTTGCTGTTCTTTATAAACTATAAGAACAAAGTTTACTGTGAAATAAATGAAGTAATCGAATACATCTTACGATAGTTATTCTACAGTAGGTGCAGTGGAATTTGGTTAACCTAGGGAAGTTCAAAATTAGCTTGTGGCACAGTCCACCCAAAAGCAGATGAACGTATTTGATAAGGACCAGAAGAAAAGAATCCTTAATTAATTGTGATTTAGAAAGTGTTTGCAAGCTGTACTTAATAATAAGTACAATCATAATGAAATTACCATTCCATGGAACACGAAAAGAAACTCGTTCGGTAAGTTTACCATAATATCTTCTCATGGACTAATAAAAATCAAAGAGTACTATTTAATGGAACCATGGTGATTTGTTTAGTAATCAAAGGAGCGAAGAAAAACAAAAGGTACTATTCTATGAAGCAAAGATGATTTGTTTAGTGTCTTTAGAGGTATGGCTAAGGAAAGTTTAGTTCTAAAGATCAAAGAGGGAGGCTTTTTTCGGCTATATTTTGACTATCTTCATGTATTAGGTATGGCTAAGGAAAGTTTAGTTCTAAAGATCAAAGAGGGAGGCTTTTTTCGGCTATATTTTGACTATCTTCATGTATTAGGTATGGCTAAGGAAAGTTTAGTTCTAAAGACCAAAAAGAGAGGTTTCTTCCAGCTATATTTTGACTATCTTCATGTATTAGGTATGGTTAGGGAAAGTTTAGTTCTAAAGACCAGAGAGAGAGGTTTCTTCCAGCTATATTTTGACTATCTTCATGTATTAGGTATGGCTAGGGAAAGCTTAGTTCTAAAGACCAAAGACGGAGGCTTCTTCCAGCTATATTTTGTTCAGTGTATAAGGGCTGATGAGGATCTGATAGTATAGCTTCAAACGCGTTTCAAAACCACTACGTTTACGTGATTGAATTCTTTACACTACACGAAGCGAATCTTATATTTATTCAGAGATTATTGGAAATGTATGTACTCAAGCGTTTTGAGAAAAATTGTTCATTTGAGTTCATTTTATCCCTTCCAAGCTGAAAATAGACAGATAAATTTAAGTTTGCGATAGAAACATGTATAGGTTATACAATTTTCTAATTTTCAACTCTTTATAGCCACTATTTATTAGGAATGGATTTCTGTTTAACATGAATTTATAATAAAATGAGCATTTGACTCTACTTATTAATTTCATTTCCAGTTTTATTAGCTTCCTTAGAATGTTTAAAACCATGTAATGAGTCATGAGTAATTCACATTAAGTGCGATGTATTTTTATATACACAAAGGAATATAAAAAAGTGTTACTGGAAAACGTCTACTCAGGTAAATCAACGTTAATGCTGAGCTGTCTCCTGACTGTATTTTAAAATTAACCTCAAAAGATGAGGTGGTCATGAAATCAGGAGAGAAAACAGATTCAAAATTAGCTGAACTTTGAAGAATGGATGATGCAGAGGTGGACATAACACATCATATACTTTCAAAACTATTAAGTTTATGATTTTTCCAACGAATATAGCAAATCATGAGCTACAAATTGATGATATAAATGTACAATATAAGATAGCTAGCTACCTGATTAAAACTTTCAGCATTAAAGTATTTCCCAAATTTCCCCGTATTTATTAAAAGATGACCTCAATAACCTTGACAGTAAATCGTATAAACAACAACAACAACAACAAAATTCGAGAACTACGCTGCTTCAGAAAGTGTCAAGCCTTTTTTTATTATTTAGAATTCGGTAATAAGGTGGACAGCATTGTGAAAGAGTCTAAAAATGTGTATGAGACTAGATCTTTACCTTCATACATATTCGTGTAAAAAGATGGGTAATTTCTTTTCTAGACTTATTAATGTGTTTTTGTATTTTATTATTTAGATATCTTTAGTTTTAATCTATAGAAATAGTAATGATAATTTCATTTTCAAGACTGCACTTTTAATGCAAGTGTAAGCCTGCGCTAAAAAAGTTACGTCACAAGTATCACCTCATTTTAATGTTAATATTTTATACAAAACTTATTTGCTCAAAAACATCACGTTAACTTCTGACCTATCACGCCCTTGTTTGAACATAGCCAATGCTCGTGATGAGCACGTGAATAGAGGTGTTTATAAATGGAAACTTCAGTAATTTGAAACCTAGGACTACTTTTATGTAAAGTACAGATCTTGCAAGATCTGAATCCTAAGTCATTTACAAATACGATTTTTAAAGGAATTCTAAGATTAAGTTTTACAAAGAAGCCACCAATACAAAAAGAACAGATGACAAAAGAATGTTTTTGTTGTTGTTTTTTAGTAGAGAGAGAGAGAGAGAGCTGTAAGGAAGTTTTCACTTACCGGAGAAGTCCTAGCACATTAGGTTAAGTTTCACTTAAAGGGGAATATTATGGAAGTTAGTTGTAGTCGTGTATTGTTGAAAGAACAATATTTTAATAGACTTCAATACACCCATGTGTAAGACCACAATACCCGTGTTTTGACAAACAATGAAAATCATTAGTGTAAATTATATTAAACTCCGCCCTAATATTTAACTCAATGTATCTATAACCCTATTGCTATCTCTTTCTTTTACGATCTGTCATTGGTCTACTAAAAAACATCCTCCGGCTGCATTGGGCAGGCTGTTAAAACTTGTAGAATAGCGATTCGCTGAGCTGGGAAAAGTCCCGCCCCTCAGTTGATGTAAGTACCGAGCGCCGCAGAACCTAGCTGAAAGTTTTGTACACGGGAGAGTTATAACTAATGGTGACCGTTAACGTGGTAGCGGAAGTTAGCTGCTGATCCAGAAGGCCAGCTTCTGAACAAAAGTTATAGAAGTACCAGCGAATCTTATTTTATAATATCATAGCAAAGATCTAACTGTGTGAGGGACTCATCGACTCTAGAGTTCAACAACAATGGTGAGGGTGGACAGCAGAGGTCGCGTCCAAGGGTCAGGGGCAGCAACGTGCGCTCCGGAAAGAACTTCCTTCTCCATCAGTAGTATTATCCAGGTGGATGAGGACCAGGATGTCGTCCGGGATACCAGAGCCATGGAATCCCCAAAGGACCTCAGCCGCAGCCAGACCTCGATTGATCGGTTAGTCGTGGATAACGATAACAGTCAGCGGCCAGCGGGCGATGACATCCCACAGGCTGGAGCGAAAGTCGACGATGTAAAGGACATGCGTAAGTCTGGAGATAAGAACAAAGGTGAAAAGGACGAAAAGAAACCGAAGCACGAAAAGCCACCGTTTAGCTATAACGCCCTCATCATGATGGCGATCCGACAGAGTCCCGAAAAACGACTAACTCTAAACGGCATCTACGAGTTCATCATGAAAACATTTCCGTACTACAAGGAAAACAAACAGGGCTGGCAGAACTCAATACGCCATAACCTGTCCCTGAACAAATGCTTTGTGAAAGTGCCCCGCCACTACGACGACCCAGGTAAGGGTAACTACTGGATGCTCGACCCCTCCAGTGATGACGTCTTCATCGGCGGTACAACGGGCAAGTTACGACGACGGTCCACAGCGGCCTCACGGAACAGACTGGCTGCATTCAAGCGGACATTTAGTGGGGCTTTTCCGGGTTTTCCTGGGTCCTTGGCCGTTGGGCCAAGTCACGGAATGGATAAACCTTTAGGATGGCCTTTTCATCCTTACCCTTCTTTACAACCGATGTTTAAGTACCCAGCAGCCTACTCTAGTCTTGCTCATGGTGTGATGGCCTTGCCAAAGCCAGGCCACCTTCACCAAGGGTTTTCCATTGACAGATTACTGGGCGCAACGGATGCGTGTTCAACTGGCGGTGGTCTTCACCCGCCGGCTCTAAGATCAGGACTGCCCGTTCCTTGCACAAATGCATCGTGTACTTCTTTAGCCATCAACTCATCAGTGTGTTGTGGCAATCTGCTCTCTCACCTGGCTCATCACCCCGTTCACTTTCAAGTTGCCGGCAGTAACTTCGACTCTGGGCTCCGGGCTTTGCAACTAGCTTGTGCGGGACAGCTGCAGTCATTACCAGCCCACCCTCCGATCAGCTCGTCCCAAACAGCCGCAACTAGTGCCGGAGGGGAATCTACAATCTACAGGCCCATTCCCATTCTATCAAAACAGAGTTAGTAGAGACTACTAGTATTTTAAAGGTTAACTTTAAGCAAATCGGTGCAGACCGTTAAGCTTGGTGGAATTATCAGTTCTTTAGAGACGATCCTGCAAAGTCAGTTGAAATGGTCATTAGTCAATGAACTGTGTAATGTTTTGTAAAATATCTATGTATATGCAACATGTGCATGTTTTATGACTCGTGACTCAATGTAATGCTGTGAGGACGAAATAACGCCTAGCGTTTAACTCCAGCTAAATCCCAAATCATTTCTTCAGTGCTGATAGACTATATGAACTAGAAACGTGGCTTGTGGTCCAGCCTTGACAGTCCCAATCCTAGTTGGCATTGTGCTGTCCTGTAAGTTCAATGTCTGTATGTTTCTTGTTGTATTTAAACTATCGTATATAGATGCTCTATGTAAGTGTGCTGTATACATGATATTTAGAAAAAAGTGTTGTGTATATACATAATATAATAATCGTATATATTGTTTAAGCATACGAATACTCCAACTTATTAAATCCCTCTTTAATGAAAGTGCAAAAGGGTTAAATCAATGTATATGCTTAGCAATACCAGTAAAAAAATGTTGAAAACCTCTATAAGACTTCATTGTTGATATCTTTGTTGAATAAAATCATTAACTTAGAAATACATCACTTTTAAAAATATCAACATAAAGTATGTGACGGTAACTGCAAAGAGAGATTAACCCTATCATTACATTTGATTGCACTTTAACCAACATAAGATTAAATTAAGATATGCATATATAAGTATATATATAAACACATACAAATTCGTTGTATTTAATAACGCACAATGTTTCTTTGCAAGAAAGGTGAACGGGCAAAAACTGCTCAATTTCAGACACGTGTTCAATATTTCGTCAAGTTTATGTTTCTAACGTTACAACAGAGCCAACGTAAAGTTTACATGCTTGATGGAGAAATGTCTATTTCATTCTATCTCAAAATTATGAAACCTTAAATGAAAGAAACAAAAATAGCAGACATTGGAAATGAGTCTACTCTTTTATCCCCTGCAGTATATATCAGTATTATACTCTCGTATAATAGAAAGAATATCTTTGTACACAATCAGTAACAGATCTGATTATAAATATGCAAATAGGTGTTGCACAATTATATCTTTATTTCTACCACAACAGTTTAATAATGATACTGCCCTGATCAGATAATCTTTGTAGCCATCATGCTCTTGTGTGTGACATATATATGTACAATATGGAGATTTGAAACAGCTATTTTTGGAACAATAGAGTCACTTCTGTACAACGTTTCGTTCCTAACAATGAGACATGACCACGTACAATATATAAGGTACAAGTATTTCTAAACTTCGTATTGTTCATAAATTAAGTGGATACTTCTTAAAAAGCAAGTATGTGAAATATTTATGTGTCTTCATAAGCACAATTTGTTGATACACATGTACATGTATATATATATATATATTGCATTTTCTAATACGCTTTATAGATATAAAATTATAAATTATATAAAATAATATATCAGCTATTTATAATTGCTTAGATGTTTTATGATATTTTCATGCTTTTTCTACTGGTATGCATGTTAGACATTATAGTTATTGCATTATCTTATGTATTTCTTTAACGTAATACTTGTATTTTCATGCATGCCTCCACTTCCATTTAAAGTTGCATAAAATGCTAAAACTTTAGCAAATGTATTTTTTATTATGATTTTATACTTTAATTTCAACAACCAAGCTAAGACAAAACATATGTATATTTTAAAGTCTCAGCAGGGTAAGTGGAGCTTCAAATTCTAAACCATTTATTGAATTTTAAGCTTTTGTACAAATATATTGCTTCGGCAAAGTGATTTTTTTTCATTATATCATATCCAGCTTTTTTGTGGTTTATTCTTCAATAATATTTCAAAATTCCAGTCCTTTCTAGATAAGAACCGTAAAATTATCAAAATATGTTTGAATGGCCATAACCTATCTATATTTATGTATAAACAAAATGTAGTTTAATTATTACTAACTCAAATCATTTTCCCTAATCGTACTTTCCCTCAATTTCATGTCCCACTGACAAACATAATTAACTTTCGTTGGTCAACCACTTTATAGAAAACTAATTCTCGGAATATGAAACCAACTCTTGGATCACTGGATTTTATAGTTTTTTTTGTGTTATGCACAGGTCCAACTAATGGTAATAATTACAAGAATTCATTTTTGAATATATTATTTAACAAGACAGATGCTTAATTATGCATACATGTTGTTAGTACTTTAGACTACTTTAATATAAATATCAACGATTCGTCGAAGAACAACTGCCTAGTTTCTCTATGTATATTGACTGACAGTGTAAATCACGGAAAGTGTTTCAAAGTTTTGAAGATATAAAGTTCCGCTAGTAACATCCATACTTCCAGTTACCAGATATGAGCGAAACGTTTCTTTCTTATATGTCACCAGGTATTATTTTCTTACCAAAACAAGTTCTGTAAAGAGGTTTGAAACAAGTTTGTAAGCTATCATATTATTTTTATATTATGCTGATACTTAATGTTCATATTTTTCACGAAGTTTTATGTCATACGGTTTATGTGACACCTAACCACCTAATCTAATATAGTGAAGACGGGTCCTTACGGAAATATGGTTAGAGACCCATATCTAACGAATAAAACATTCATTAAAACTTTTACATATGTCTAAGAGAAGCTCTTTCAGTAACGCCTGTTTGCGCTTCAGTAAGAATATACATCCTTCCAACACATAGGTTGCAGCCAACAATATTAAATGTTTCATACTGTAAGGGTGTATTCAAGGCAGAAATACAATCTGTTAGAATTGTCGCGTCACTTAAAACAATTCTAGAATACAAGGCAAATCAAAAAGAGAAACAGAATGCCTGCCTGTCCAGATACGTGACTGAAGCAGATATGCACATCTCTACATGTTATGTACTGGGTCCTTTTTAATGCTACTCAGTTTTGTTGGTACAGTACCTTCTTTATAGGATTTGAATTACACACATGCATGTACTTATATTATTAAGAATATAATATATATATACACTCTATATATATGCATACACATTTCTCAAAACTCCCATAAAACTCATTACAATAATTCTACTGAAAGTGAACTTAGTATATAGTTCTATACAGTAGCGATACGTTCACAATTATTCCAGCATAGTATCAGTAAATTAAAGTATAGTTATATATATATATATATCGTAGAAATACTGCTTAAAATGACTCGTCGTTTATTTGTGTAGCGTGTCTCGGGTTTCTACTCGTCACGCTTCAAAATATAACAATTTGACAAACGTAAAGACTTGATAAATGTAATATTCAATTTTGAAATAGCCCGTCGTTAGTGCATTATTTTCTTAGTTTGGCATGCCTACAAAAATGTAGTTGAAATAAGTATACGTTATGTGTGCTTCAACCAACAAGACGGATATTTTATTTTACAATATACTGTTGAGGCTGTTTCTTCCTCTCTTGTAATTAAAATAATGTGGAATATTATCTTAGGTTTAGAGGATCTATGGTGCACATACATAATAATCAACCTGTACTTACAGAGGGTTATTTCCTACATTCTTATAAAATAAAAACAAAATATTGTTTTTCTGGTTGATATATTGTTATGATGAACCAGTATTTAAAGAAGTTTCTTTCTTTTTTACTAAGAAGAGAGCAACTTGAACCAAAACATTTTAATAACTAACATATGACATAGAAAATGTAAACAGAGGTATGGAGGAAAAGTAAACAAAATTATGTACGTAAGGTAAACAGACGTATGGAGGAAAAGTAGCTAAAAGTAAGGAAGAAATATAAATAGAGGTATGTATATATGTAAAGTAAATAGAAGTGTACTGGAAAGGTAAACAGGAGTATGTACAAAATGTAAACAGAAGTGTGTAGCAAAAGTAAACAAAATGTGTAGAAAAGTAAACAGGAGTGTGTAGAAAAAGTAAATAAAAGTGTGTAGGAAAAGTAAACATGAGTATGTACAAAAAGAAAACAGAAGTGGGTAGAAAAATAAACAGAAGTATATAGGAAAATTAAAAAGAAGTAAACAAGGGCATGCATGAAAAGTAAACAGAAGTGTGTACCAAAGTAGATAAAAGTGTGTAGAAACGTAGATAAAAGTGTGTAGGAAAAGTAAACACAAATGTGTAGGAAAAGTAAACAGAAATGGGCAGGAAAAGTTAAACAGAAGTGTGTAGAAAATTTAAATAGAAGTATGTAGGAAAAGTATATAGAAGTGTGTAGAATAAAATATGTTTGTGATCACAGACTTCACCATCTTACATTTTTTTTTGCACGTTGTTTGAAGGAAACGAATAAAATAAATGAGAAACGCTTCAGTTTACAGTAAGATAGTTAACCTAAAGAAATGGCTTCAATTTCGTTTGTAATGTTCATAAAATACGTACTCAAAGCTCCGTAAGTTTATTTAGAACACAAAAAGTACTTATGTTTCTTTGTGTTATTTTAGACTTTTTTCGATTGAAAGGTTTATCCCCAGTTCCAGTTGTTTGTGAACCCAATCCAGTATAAGTATAAAACGGTTTTTCGTCGGTCTTCTTCAATACGGACTATAACAGTATCTCACAGAAGTTGTCCAACTTTCGATCAATGCACAGCTAGACAGTAAGCAATGGAAACATCCGAAAGCCATATTTCACTCCCGCTCAAAGACAAATTTTAACACTATATATGTATTAATATAAACGGCATGATGTAGATATATATATATTTGCGTTACAACTAAGTAAGTTTGGGGACAGAATAAAACTATCCGGGGGTCAGTTGTACAGCACTACTCTATGTTAAGTTAATATTAAAGATAAGAAACCAAAGAAGACTGGAAACGTATTAGGACACTTAGTGCATTTATGTACTATATATACATAGAAAGTGGGAGGTTTATGTAACTTTTTTTTCAAAGTGATCCAAGTCTATATAAATTCGGGTAAAATTCACACGATGCCCTTTTATCATCTTAAGGATAATCTATACCCTTTTATCATCTTAAGGATAATCTATACCCTTTTATAGACTGCCACAGTTATAAAATACTCTGTTGAATTAGTAATTTTACTGTGTATAAAATAATTCTATCTTATATTATTGTTAGCTCATCTGAAGCTTGTCCTGTTTTTCACCATACGAGTCATTTAACGTTTGTCTTAAAAGTCAATAAAAGTCTTTATACCCTAATATGATTAATGCAGATTTAAATATCAAGTACAACATCTTAATTCACACACACACACATATATATATACACAAAACAACATAAACAGCACCTTAAGCTTAATAGTGTTAATGTAATTTACAAAGCTGTGGACATAAGAGTTATTTAAGTCAGTACATTTGAAACACACCAATTTATGTCTTCTCAGTGAAAAGAAAAGAAAAAAAGACATTAATCCATATGTGATTTATAAGCACAACAACGCCCTCAAACGACGGACGCCGCCCACTTACTTCCCCTGTCTCCTTATCAGATACGTGATTAAACTGATTTTAATTTCCCGATATAATTTGATAAGATAATAAAGAACTGATTTGTAATGGTAATTTAAGTTTGAGGTATTCGTAAGCCATTTTATTTTTAGCATGTACAAAGCGTATTATGGCTACTTTGGTTAAAGCTAAATATATATATATATATAGAACTCCTTAAAGTTACATCCTAATGTAGTAATGAAACAAACCCCACATGTTTATACCTTTCAAAATAGCTGAATGTTTATAAAAAAACATGTTAAAGTTACAGCATGTTTATAAAAATCATGTTAAAGTTGCAGCATGTTTATAAAAATCATGTTAAAGTTACCGCGTGTTTATAAAAATCATGTTAAAGTTACAGCATATTTATAAAAATCATGTTTTGTTATGAAAATCTCGCCATAGTCTTTTCTTTTCATCAGGTAATTTGGATTTTAAAAAGTCTTATAACTAAAAATCTTTGTTAAATTCAGTATTTGATGAATATTCGTAGGTTAAAATTGAAACAAAAATAATAGGCTCTGATATTTATATGATTTTATTTTATTTTTTAAAAACTGGTATTCAAGCAGAATGTGCTTTGATAACCTAGCCATAAAGAATAGACAGACAGATGCGCAAAAAGATAGGCGCATCCTAGAAATATGTTTTCTTGAACTTTTCTGTAGTCTTAATTTTTTCTCCGCGTATCTGATCGGAAGTTCACGTTTTTGGAATTATAAAAATACACTGATAGATAGATGTGAATGAGCACGAACCCGAGCATGGCCTAGCGGTTAATTTACCCTAATTATGAATTGGGGATTCGTGGTTCATGACCTGTTACCGCAAAAACGCGATCCGCATTTTAGGGGCCGTGAGTTTTCTCAACGGGTGA